CCGGAGTCGGACCGAAGGTGGTGTCAGAGCCAGAGGTGGGATAACCTCTTGGGAGTCGGCAAGGAGGAGGTGATGGAAGGGAAGTAGGACTCCAGAAGTCAGGTTTGGAGTTCCAGGAGCCCGGAGCAGAGGTCGGGATTGTATGGATATGACACAAACAGAAAGTTGATGTATCCTTCAGATATCATCCATACATCCATACCAAGCCTTTTGAATTGTCAAAATTGGGTGAGTTTTGGGTGAGAAAGGTGATGAAATATATAGTGTAAATTTTTGGATTTTGGAGTTTGCCTTGAAATTTTCAGATAGCTAAAATTTTATGATAAAAGGTGATTTCAATTTTTTAAAATTATTTCTAAATGTCCTGAAATTTCTCTCCCTAACATTTCCCAAGATATCTGAATTTTCCCTAATTTTCCCTGATTTTTTAGAAATTTTCCTTTTCTCAATTTTTTTTGAAAGTCCCCCATATCTCCCTGAATTTTCTGAAATTTCCTTAATTTTCCCTGACTTTTTTTCAAGTTTTTAGAAACCCCCAGTTCCCCCTCATTTTCCTCCCATTTCCCCCTTCATCCCCCCCCTCAATTTCCCCCCCCCCCCCCAATTCCCTCTGCAATTCTCCCCCATCCCCCCCTTCAAATTTCCCCTCATTCCCCCCTTAATTTTCTCCTCATTTCCCCCTCATTCTCCCCTCCAAATTTCACCCATTCCCCCCCTCATTCCCCCCCTCAATTACCCCCCATTTCCTCCCTCATTTTCCTCCTCATTTTCCCCCTCATTCCCCCCCTCATTCCCCCCCCTCAATTCCCTCCTCAATTCCCCCCCATCCCCCTCTTCAATTGTCCCCTCATTTCCCCCCCCCAATTCCTCCTTAATTTTCTCCTCATTTCCCCCTCATTCCTCCCTCCAAATTTTCCCCCCTCATTTCCCCCTCCCCTCATTTTCTCCCTCATTCCCCCCCTCATCCCCCCTCCAATTTTCCCCATTCCCCCCCTCATTTCCCCCCCTCAATTTTCCCCCCCTTTCCCCCTATTTATAACCCTAAATTCAGTGTATATATCAATTGGGTTGTGTGCCCTTGGTGTGCAGTGCCACATGAGGGGTTGCAAGTTAAGTAGACTGTTGACCCTAGGGTAGGGACTTGACTGTGGCCAGTCACATGATACTGTAGTCAAGCTTTTTATTTTTTTGAATTTTTGCAAATTGAGCATGGGCTCAGGGTGCTCATAGAGCTAATAGTCCTCTGTGGGCAAATATATCTCTATGAGCTCTCAGAGAGGGGGACCTGCAATTTTCAAAGTTCTTAGCTCTGTGAGCTCTCATACCTCCTGGTTGGGTTTGCTGATGCAGGTGCATGGGTTTTCACCCAGGTTACGCCTAACCATTCATGTCCCTTGCAGACACAGCTGCCCTCAGTCCATGGACACCTACCACACCCATCTTCCATCCGTTCAGTCTTGGACTCTTCCTGTCTGTGTCAGCTCATGTACCATCTGCCTCAGCACCTATTGGATCCCAGGTTACGGTCTCATGCAACACTGTTCTCTCCATCTGCTGTCCTGAGTTGTGATACAAAAGGATCTCCACCTGCCTCTTTCTCACTTCATCTCCCTCCTCCCCAATGGCTCTCAACATCACTTTGCGATCTCACTTTGTTGGTTATGCTTTCTTGAATTTGACACTGGAAGTTATAGCAGATTCCAAAATAATGGAAAAAGTTAAACGAGCGAAGACCCTGTTCAACCTGAATCAGCAAGAGCTGATGATGTTTGTTGATGTACTTGTCAATATACTTGTTAAACTAGAAATAAAGGAGGAAATAAATAAAATCACATGCTACTGTGAGTCACTGGGAAATTTGTACAAGTCATCCAAATATTATTTACACATGGTCTGTCATCCTGATGGAATTGACTTTATAATGAAGAATACAAATAAGAACTAAAGTCTGAGTGAACCCTCCTTTGCTAGCTGGTCCACACAATCGCTCCTGATAATGCCAGAATGAGCTGGGCACCAGCTGATGATGGTTTCGAGGGGCTGGTTGCACAACAGTATGTTGGCCAAATACGTTTGAAATCCCTCTGAGTAGTGTTGTCCCTTGTTTGGACTTGACATTGTGAGATGTTCAATTGAGCCAATATCATCTCTGAATATGAGTAAATGGGTTGGACACTGGGTTGCATTGTGCCCCTCAAATACTCCTGTGATTTCCTGCGCTGCCACCTGAAACCCCTCTTCAAACAGGTGTGCCCCCTTCTCCATTTGCCCCTTCAACTCAAATACTACCTCATGGCTGCAATAGCCAACCAAACCATACCCCAATCTCCTTGCCCCATTCAGCTTATGCTGCAAACCATTGCTATACACAAACAGATATGATGGGTCATCCTCATATTGAGCAATGAAGCTTTTGTGAGCTTGCGCCCATGCTGATTTATGTGACATTCCTCGAGTGTGGGGAGGCAGGTAGACCTGCACTTGAGTAAAACCTTCCCCCTGCATTGCTAGGTCATTGTGAACTGCAAGTTGGGCAGCATTGATGTGTCTTTGGTAGGCATTTGAGGTGGGCATGAGGAGCATTCGAAGCCAGCTCGCAGCGCTGGAATGGATTGGCCACAGAAAGAGTTGGGGGAGTTGATAGGGATTCGGCATTTGCTGGGTGGCGTTCGAGATGAGGGTTTGGGGTAAGTGCAATGAGTTGGAATGAGTTGGGAGTGAGTTCAAGATACAGATACGAGTGAATCGAAGGGAGCTCATAATGTGATTGAAACTTGGTCGAAGTCTGATCAAGGCACTTTTGAAGGAGCTATAAGAGCTTGAGTAGTTTGTGACAGGAAGAGAGTGGGCACGTTGTTGAACTAATAGTGTCAGAGACCAGACTTGAGACGAAAGAATGTCTCCGTAACAGAGGGCTTCGGCCTCAGCGACTTCTGCCAGGAGCGCTGTGCCTAGTGACACGTCCGTGCCCTAACTTACTGACTGGCAATTAGAACCTAGGGGGAACTCTAGTTGATTTTTCTACTGGGGCGTAACCTATGTACAAGTGGGATATATATATGGTTACAGCGGAGACGGTTCCGCAATTGGCGGAGCCGAACGGAGCGGAGCTAACGGGGTTTAACCATTAGCCGACTGAATATTACCGACGAGTCAGTTCACGGGGTTAGCGGAAAGGCAGGCGATAACCCAGAAACGGAAAGGAGGGATAAGCCTGAAGGTGGACTCTGCAGGGCAGGCGAGTGTATTGCTCAGCGGAGGCGGGGGTGCGCTAGCGGACGTCGGAGCTGTCTGGAAGTCTTCGGGGCTCCATACTTAGGGAGGCGTAGGTAATAAATTGGAATGGGGGGGTGGTGACCATCGAGGGGTACCGAGAGGATTGCGGAATAACGGGGGCTCCGAGGTTAGTGAGGGAGGAGCGGAGTTGGAACGGAGGAATCGGAGGGACCGGAAGTCGATGGCCGGGAATGGATATGACAAATAGCATTGAAACTAGTTACCTAGCATGTTATGCTAGGGTACATGAAAGTGTGTAAGTCATTAAGACAAAATGCTCAGAATCCAGTCTGACTGATAGGCAGGCAGGGGGAAACAATACAAATATCAGGCAATGTCATCGTAGTGATTGATTGTTCCATTGCATTTGAACTGCATGGTGAGGCATTACAAGCACATTAGTCCAAGGTGGGTTGTTTTTGGGAAATGATAGCAATAGTTTCCGTAGCATTGTCAAGTGTCTGTCATTGCATTTCCATATATCGAAGGTCCACTTTCTCATCACTTCCTCTTCCATGTCTTTTGAAATGTTGACAGGCCAGTATGACAAGGCGCTATGCTGGACGACTGGTTTGAACCCATAGAAGTCGCCGCGAATGATGGGGTTCACCCCATGGTTGGTTTGATAGGTTATCCCGATGATTATGTTGGTGGAATCATCTTTCACTAAACATGGCCCTTGCAGCATCAATACATGCTGGGCTATTGACCACAATCACCTTTACATTCAAAGTGATGGTGATGCAAGCCTTCCATTCTGAATTGCAATAGAGAAGCAATGGCATGTTCAAGTGACTGTGACGGTAATTTCTGTCACACAATGTGTCACAGCACAACCACAACGTTGTAGGGCACCCAAATATATAAAGTCAACAAGAATATATGGTGCTTAAGAATTACAAGACGAAGCAGTCAGGAGAATTATTAATTGATAAAGACGGTCACCTGAAGGAAAACCATCGAGAAATGAGCAAGTATGGTGATGATATGATGAAGTTTCAGATTGTTTATGTATATAAGGTACAAATAGCACGATCCTAACCACATGCTTACAGAAATGAATCATATATATTGTGGAAGTGGAAAAATACAGGAATTCAATGCAACCACGCCCATCCAAGTAGCAGTGTAAGGCTGGTTGGGGTGCCAGCCTCGTTGACTCCTCAATCCTCTGGCTGTCAAGATCGTAGGCTGCATCAAGCTTATATTTGGCAGTGGGTTAGTGTATACCCTTTACCCAAGCCCAAGCCATACAAATGTAAATGCAATTGGGTACAACAAGAAATAAACACGAAAGTCACCACTGCTCCACCATCCATTCCCTCCAAGTGGCCATGCACGTTTAGCCCAGTTTCAACGTCGTCGAGGTCTATTTGGCTGTGTCAGTGAGATGTAGGGTTTGGGGTTCAACTCTTCTCCATCTTCATCACTGTCAGAAGGCACCATCTCAAGTTTCTGTCGATGATATGGATTACTTGAAGGTCTTGAACCCTCCACTTGGTTGCTTGAGGACCCTGAGGAAGGCAGGGTTGAAGCAAAGAGTCCAGGGGAGCTAGGGGCAGATGAAATGGGAGATAAACCAGTCACAGATGTTGACATTGTGGCATCGGTGTTACCAAAAATGTGGTTGAAATCAGTGGCTGATGAGGAAGATGGGAACCTTGGAGGCACATCTCCAGACAGATCCAGGGAGCCATCATCGATGGGGCTACTTCTGCCAGCATCTAAAGGGAGTGGGACTTCTCCCTTTGAAGATGACAGTAGAGGATTGGGGAAAGTGCTGGGGGGGCGGCAACTTCTTTTCCCTTGAAACCCCCCTTTGTTTTCTGCTTCTTTCCTTTGTCAGCAACATCGTTGCTTCTCTTCCTCTTGTGGCTTGTCCCTTTCCCTTTCGCTTGCACAATGGAAGGAGAGCGATCGTCAATGCCGCTGTCACTTGTATCCCCATCACTATCTTCATCGTTGTTCAATGCCAAAAATGCTGGGCAGTATGTCAGTGTAAAATGGCTGAAGACCTCGATAGGGACATACCTTTAGCTTTGGAAAATGTTTCACTCTGCCTTGCCTTTCCCTGGGCAAACTGATACAGTAAAGTATCTGTGGTACCATCTGCCAGCAGCCAGACTACTGTGACCTTCTTGGTTTGCCCTTTCCATTGCACATGGCCTATGACCTGACGCTCATCTTGAGAGCTCCAAAGTTGATCCTATGGGTGAGTATTTGTCAAGGTCAGAAGCCAAGAAGCATACAGCAAAATAACAATGTTTGCTGTTGTGATGTTCAGCCCCATTGTACCCACACCACTAATGATCAACACATGGCAAGGGTTGCCTCTGCGATCCTGCTTGGAACTGAAACAGGCAAGAGTTTTATCTCAGACATGGACACTATCACCCAAGGTCACAGATTCTGTGTTGATATCATTGACCTTCAGTGCAGACTGGATGAGATCAACTTGTCAGAGCCAGTTGCAATAGACCAAAACTGATGATCCATTGGAAGCCAATGAAGAGGTGTTGTTGCACAATTTGGATCTATCAGCCCCCTTCTGTGACGCCAAGGGATCCTCTGAGTCGCTGGGGTATCTAGTCCCAGTCCGAGGTCTTCAAACTCACTGAGGGGGCTAGCCCCAGCCTTCACAGGAAATGAGTTGAGAAGAAGGGTAACCTTCTCAACCTCCTGTGAAGCCACTACAAATGGGAGCCGGGAACTATACAGTTTTCAGCTCTTTGCTGACTTTCCATGATTGGACCCCCCCGTGGGAAGATTCTGGGCAAGCAGCTCGCCCAGAAAGTTCCCACGGTTGTGGCTGTGATGGTTTCTGGGCGAGTAACTCGCCCAGAACGTTCCCATGGTCTGCATGCATGCAGGATTGTGGAACAGTGAAGGGAAAAATAGGAGAAAATGGGGGAAGGGTACCTGAGGTGTGTGGGGTCAGGGGCTGTGCCCTGACAGTCTAGTATTGGGTCTGCTCCGTTCCCATACTGGACAAAAAGGAGATGAGAGTCACAAGAGCCTTGAGTTTGGTTCCACCCTTCTCCTTCCAAGTCTCTTGCAGGTCAAACCCACAATTCTTGTCTAGTCCTGGAGACATGTTTTCCTGCCGTGGTCCAGAATAGAATGCCTAAAAATATCATGTTAGGTAGGAAAGATCCAGCAGAATCACACAGGCTCACCCAAGGATCAAAAAGAGCACCATCCCTTCTGAACAGAAGCATTAACATAACACATTATACATCACACAGCTTGGGTGACCAACCTTCCCTCACCTTTGCAGTCCTTGTGCGCTTGCTCGATCAAACCCATCTCATTGGGTGATAAGGTGATCTTGATGACCAAGCACTTGTGAGCACACAGCCCAATGAGCGGCTCTCCCCTAGACTCCCCAGTGCAATGAATCAAATGACTCTTAAAAGAGCCTTTCAACCATGAAACTGGTTCCAGTTGTGCATTGACCAGGTTTCTGAGCTCATTGGTCTCTGTGGTGGAAGTTTGATCCTCCATGTCACCCAATGCTTTACAGTGGGCAGCATGGGCCTTTTGAATGCTACTGGAAAAGACCTTATTCTTGTCCATTGCAGCCCCTGAGCAGAGGTCTTTGAAGTTCAGAAGATGGCTGATGGATAGAAGATCCCTATGACCAGTGAACAATGGTGTGGTAGTGAGTGCGACCAACATAGCACAAGACTGGGCAATGGAAAGTAGGGGGGAGATGTTGTTCCGATATAGGTGTGCTTCATCCACCAATATAGACAGCAACTGGTGCTTGTGGATATGGGTAGAAGATGTGGGCCTGGCAGTAGATGGCACAGGAATCCAGGGAGACTGCTTGGAACTCCCTGCCTTCAAACCTTTATCCTGACTGGTATAAATGATCCAAACCAACCACCTAAAGTAGAGGAAATTAGCGATCATACATTCCATATCATGACATGGCCAATCACCTCTTTTGAAGCCAGAATAATTATGTGGTGCAATTCTCTGGACTTTTTGAACAAGGAACTCTCATAAGGCCCATTTGGGGCCCAAAATTCGTTCCTTGCTTGTTTTCCCTCTGCATACACCAGTACATCTGCACTTGCAGGCTTCAGCCAGCAAGTAAGAGAATGCTTCCATTGTGGCACCAATGTGTTGGGAACAATGATGAGATGAGGCCAGTTTGGAACTTCGGAATGGCCAGAAAGATATGGCTGATTACCTGTGCCCAGTGACTCAGTTAGATAAAGTGCCTCTTACAATGAAGGAAGGCCATACCAAGAATGGGAGGGTCAGCTTTCTGTGCTTTTCTCCCATCGACAAGCCCAATGAGAAAAGAAATTGAAAGGATAACCTCTAGGGTCTTTCCCAGCCCCACCTCATCGATAATGGCCATTCCCTCTGGGCTAGAGCACATGGGATTGCATTCCCTTGTGAAAAAATGCTGTACAATGGCTGCTACAGCCACTAGCTGGTGCCACATGGCCTCCTGGACATAAAACCCCTCTGGGAGTGTCCTGCCTTGCTTCAGCAGAGTGTAGGCATCTTCCCACTGCTCCTCAGTCCTTTGGTCCATGCCATTGTGGACCCCAGAGATTTGATGTAAGGCCCATCTGAATGCCCCCAACCTGGCAACTAGAGTTCAAGACAAAATGAACCAGAACAGAACAGATAGGCTTACCTAGGCACTGACAGAGCCAGGCATGGGTTTTATCCTTCCAAGCCTTGACACCAATGTCGCCCAATCCGAGTGCATCCTCACCCAGCTCCTCCATATCCTCCTGGACCTCCGGAATCTCCAGCTTCTCAGTCAACTCAGACATGTGTCCAAGATGCTCCAGCCAGTCTTGGACCTCTGATTTCATTGATTGGATAGATTCCAGACTGTTCAATGACTTCATGTTGCTGAGCATTAACTTTGAACATGTCAGGGCACACCCACCCAACCCAGCTCCACCCGCCCTCACCCAGTATCCCACCACCCTCCATCATCGTCCTCCATTTCTCATCCTTCTTTCCTTTTAGTCTCTATTCTATTTCTATCTACACAGACGACCTTTCCCCATTCTATGTATCATTGACCCACCTGCGACGTGCACATGACACACCCAGCCCTGGATGACCCAGATGGCTTCATGGTGTAACCCAGCATGTGCACATGCAGCACACACCCTCAGGATCCCCGATGGGGACACCCGGGTGACTGCAGCTGTATGCAGGGTGATGTGGCAACCTCATGTGACCCAAGCTGCATGTACATAAATGTACCTGGAGTGGGAACTGAAGAAGTAACCTTCTTCTCACTATTCCCACTTCAGTCTGAGTGGCCAGGGACCATTGTCTGCATCGGGCCCATCAGTACACATGCCTGCTCCACACCCCACAAGGGCCTCATTGCCGGGCATCACATCTGGGCCCTGATCCTGGACGTGTCCCTGACAGAACACCCTGGAAATGTCCAAATCAGAGCAGGAAAGCAACACCAGAATGGCAAAGGACGACCGCGACGTCGTTAAACTAGGGAGAGAAAAACAACTAAGAACAACAAATACAACTCGGAAAACAAAAATATGAATGACTAAGGGGAACCACTAGAAAACCGGACGTGACGCTGGCAAAGACCCCTTGACCTCGACAGGGCAACCAAAATACGCCCCAGTACACTGTCAGGTCCCCATCCGGAAGGGGCTAGGAGTTGGGTACACCCGGTCGGAACGCTAACCACTATGCAGTTCCCCGGTGCCCGGGTAATCCCGCAAGGATTAGGTTGGCGGTGCCACGAAGTACAAATACACCAGTACCTCTCGTCCCACAGAAAAATCATACTAGCGGTAGAACGCCACAACGGTGTGTCTCCCCGCAAACTCCTACTAAATAAAGCCGTAACATACACAAAACTTCTCTCAACAGTGGTTCCCCAAGTCACAAACATGCAAAGTAAACGTAACAACCTTAACGACCATCAACGCTCGCTGTCTCCCCTCAGCTCCATTGGGGCGGATGACACCATGATAGATGACCTTATGGGGACGCACCAACAAAGCACTCCTAACAACACCGAAAAGGACTTAACCACACTCGCGTCTCCCACCACCACACTCCCATCTATCACCTCCATTCTGGAGGTGGCCAAACGCCACAGATCCCCAGACTCGGCCAACATCCAAGGTCCTGAACTCGCGCCCCCTCCCCCCGAGAGCGAAGGGAGGACAAATAACACCACTAACCGCGCGACAGTCCCTACCTCCACGAGCCCTGCAACTCCCCCCCCAAACCCGCCACGTATCACCCGCCCCCCAGCCGTAGCAGATGCCCCTGACCCAGTAACTGCAGCTGCTCAGCGCCCACATGACGGCAACGAAATCTTCAACTACACCGACCTTGATGGTGAACTCGCTGACTTCCGCGCCCACGGTGCACGGCCGGCAAGAATCCTTGCAAACCTCAGTGAAGACCGCCATGAACAGTGGAAGACCATTCCAAGAACTGTCTTAACATACCCGCTTGACGCCAAACACAGCACAGAGGGCGACAAAAAATTTAGGAATAACCTGGCCACTTTCCTCAAAAGGGCCTTTCCCCAATCAAGCCTGAATATAATCATCCGTCCCCCAACCGCCCGATCACACGACCAGACAGGAACCCCTTGGGGCTTCCTTGTTGAGGGCCTCCACCCCTCACACATCAACACCCTTATCGCTGGCCACCTATGGATGAGCCGTGCGGTATGTTTCATAGCAATCGACTTCGCCAACTACCGGCCCACTAACTATGTTATATCCCTGTGTGGCTTGGGAGCCAACTTAAACGAAACTGGTGACATAGAAAACGCGATCACTCAGAGAATCCTTGACCAAAGATCCACATTCAGAACCTTCCTAGAAAGAGCGAACCTACATGTTGATGACATAAACCGCATAGCTACCAGCTGCACTGTTATCCCCCGTGGGTATGCTGCATCCAACCATGGGAACCGCCTCAACCCGTCTGAACGAAGAAACCCAACCTCTGATGCCAATGTAACGCTTTGGGAAATCCACCTTCCCCCCCCATTCTTCGAAGTTCCCGACCCCACCCCCGGTGTCCTGAACACCAGCTATGACCAATGGGTCCGACTATTCAGAGAAACCACATTCTCCACCCCTACAAGTAACAACGGGTCCGCCAGCGGCTCCCACATATACTGCCATACTTGCAAAGGGTTGGACCACACATTCGCTGTTTGCCCAATCCATGAGCACTATATCTGGCGTGAACTCAACCCGAGCCCAGAAAATCCCCCTACACCAAACTCTGTTGATCTGCCCCGGCCCCACCTGGCAAATCGGGGACGCGGCAGAAACCCAGGACGCTATCGAGGATGTGGCCGGCACTACACCTAAAATGACCACTAAAAAGTAAAGCTATGTAGGCTACCCAATCCCTTCTAGCTTCATGTAAAATACACTGCCTGAAACATTTAACTCATGAGTGAACTGAAATAAAAACTAAACACAGGCAAGCAGCCTCGGCTAAGGACGCCCAAATTTACTGGACCGCAAGGTGACAGGAAAGCGCACCAGCCCACCCCAACCCCCTCTTCTCTCTCCACCCCCTCCATGGCTGGCAACCAGGAGGGGGTGTACAAACAAACGCCAGCGAAAAAGTTAACACAAACAACCAACACAGGACCCCCAATCAGGTCCCGAAACGAACTCAACCGGTAAATGGCCTCCTCCCTCTGCCTCTAGAGGACTGCCGGCTTCAACCGTTTTCCAAATGTCCAAGGACAGAGGCAGAGGAACTGAAAACGGCCCCAACCCACTGTCCCCTCCGCCTAAGAGGAGGCAACCCCTCCCCCCAAAATGGCCCCCCCAGCCTAAAAATAGGCGCCCTCAACATCAAGGGCGCAAATAGCTCCTCCACCAAATACAAATGGACTACCCTCCTACAAAAAATGAAAAAAGAAAGATTTGGCATCATGTGTCTCTCCGAAACCCACACCGACCAAATACAACAAGAATACTTAGACAGTACCTATGACCCAGAGTGGACAATCACCCACTCCTTTAACCCAGATCACACCCGCGCAGGTGGTGTTGCTATCATAATTAATAAAAACATAATCAAAACCAAGCCCAGATCCACTAGAAACATTATACCCGGCCGCGCCCTCCTCATAGAAATAGACTGGCCACCCGACTCCCCTATCAAAATCCTAGCCATATACGCACCCAACCCCCACCACGAGAACTCCCAGTTCTGGAGGACACTCCAACAGAACCTTCACGGCACCTCCATCGACATTATGCTTGGGGACTTCAACATGGTAGAAGAAGCAATCGACAGACTTCCGCCACACCCAGACCCGGAAACAACAGTAGCATCCTTCCACAACTTCACATCCCCAAACAACCTAACAGACGGCTGGAGGAACTCACACCCAGCCCCCGAAAAAACTTCACCTTCGGCCACTCCACAGGGACATCCCTCTCCAGAATTGACCGAATATACACATCTGACACTATCAGAGAAAAAGCCTACACATGGGAAATATCCAGCCCGGGCCTATCCACTGCCGACCACCAACTCATCTCAGTGGAACTCAGAGACAACTGCACTACCACAATCGGGAAAGGAAGATGGGCCATTCCCCTTTACCTGACCAAAGACCAAAACTTCCTACATGAAGTCGAAACTATCGGCAACGAGGCCCTAGACGAAATAGCCAGGAACAACGACACCCAGAACACCTTCCAAGACTTCATATCAGCTGTGACGCACCTAGCCAGAAAAATCACAAAAATAAAAGCAGGTAAACTCAACTCGGAAGTAAGGCGCCTCACACACAGACGTGACAAGGCAATGTCAAGGCTGACCTCCTCCAACGAGACCCTAACAGAAATGACACAACTCCAGATACAAAACCTAACCAAAAGAATAAATGAAATCGAAAAACTGAAACAAACTAAATCAAGAGCTAATGCAGGGGCAAACAAAAGACTCCTAAGCGAAACAACCAACAAGTACTGGTGCAAATGGGGGAAGGAAAACAAACCACGCGACACAATATCCGAACTGAGAATCCCGGACTCCAACCCACCAGCACACACACCCAAACCGGAAGAAACGACAAATATCGCCGCCAACCACTACAACAATGTGCAAAACAGAGACTTAACCACCCACCAGGAAGCAAGGGAAACCCACATTACGAACACCCTCAACCTCATCCGGAACCACACCCCCCCGGAAATACACTCAGACCTGGCCACCCCGCTAAGTCTTGCAGATATAGACAAAGCACTAAAACAATCCCCTAACGAAAAAGCTCCTGGCTTGAACGGAATACCCACCGAGCTATACAAAAACCTGAACTCCAGGTGGGAAAAGCGGAAAAATGATAACCAAGGCCTTCACGTAGTAAAACTCCTAACTCTCCTAGCCAACGACATCGAAAAAAATGGCACCTTATGCCCACAATTCTCGGAAGGATGGCTATGCCCACTCTACAAAAAAAAAGATAAAAGAGAAATCGAAAACTACAGGCCCATAACTGTACTAAACGCTGAATATAAGATCATCACGACAGCCCTCATGAATAAGCTATCCCCGATAGCTCCCCTCCTTATCCACAAATGCCAAGCAGCCTTCATGAAAGGCCGAAGCATTTTCGACCAAATTGACCTCGTAAATCGCATGACGGACCTGTGTGAACTAACCGGACAGGACGGCGCAATCATTGCCCTCGACCAAGAAAAGGCGTATGACCGCATCCGCCATGATTACCTCTGGAGGGTCATGGAAACCATGGGAATCCCACCAGAACTAATATCAACAATCA